AATAATGATGAATAAACTAAGAGACCACTACTCCAATCCAATAATAATTTCAAACTGTCGGTAGACTGCTCAGGAACAACAAAAAATTAAACAAAACAAAACAAAACAAAACTAACAAACAAACAAAAAGAAAACATGGAAAAGTGGATATCAGACCAATGGGAAGAGAGATGACCCAATTTAGCCTGCCAATTTTTAAAGGTGTCAACAGCTCCACAGCTCATACTCTTAGAGAACTGTTCGCCAAGTGACAAGGTAAACCCAAACACTAATAACAAGCGAGAACAGAAAGACATACTTAACATAAATCAGCCTTTCATCCTTCTGTGTGTGAAGATAATCAACATCCACTGTTGCTCCACATCAACGCAAGTATGAGCGCCAGGAATGCCCTCACTCCACCCGTGCAGCCCCATACTCACTGCAGCTTGTCCCCCATGACAGCAGTCCATGCATAGCCTTCACTTGTACTCTATTTCACAACTTCAGATTAAGAATGCAGAATCATAATAAATAATGGATAGCATCAGGATTTTTGGATGGTCTTTTAATCTCTAATCTCCTGAAAGCATCACATAAATAAAAATCCTCCTCTGTTTAGGAAATTTGACCCACCCACTGCCATATTAAGAAAAACTGGCAGGTTTTCTGAAATTATATTGTCTTTATTGAGGATGTTATTTCTTTGCCTGGGATTGGAAGATCTTTGAAGAGATGAGCCTGCTTACAGTAAGAATGCATGTTCAATTCCATATATGTATGTAAATTAGAGAGTAAGAGAAAGTGATCCATTTCACCAAAATGTATTGAATCTATATAAGTCTCTAGTTTGGGCTCAGATTAAAAGGGGTAGCAGGGTGTTAGGAGCCCAGAATTGGACCATCTGTCTATTAATTTATATTGGGGGGGCTCATGGACACTTCTTGCACCGGGCCCCCAAATTTCTGTCAAAGGGCCTGAAGGCTAGTAACAGGGAAATATTACAAAGGAAAAACATATGTCCTGATTGACGTCAAGAAAGAAAGAGGAAAATCCTTGCTGTAAATTTTCACATTGAAGAGGAGCAAAGGGACTTACTGTGAGCCTGGGGCGAAGAACTTAATAATCCTATGCATTCATCATAGCAGCCACAGCAATTAAACACGACCTGTAGCTTCTTGCTGCTTAACAAAAATGTGACCATGCACCTCCAAAGGTCAGACTCTTTCTTCTCTGTCATAGGTGGCACCAGGAACTTTAGGAAGATAAAGGACCTGCATACTTCCCTTTGAGTCATTCATTCAAGCTATACTCTTGCTGAGTGAATGCATAGCTTTTGCATTGGACCCAAAAGAATAACTCAGAAATGCACAATTAAATATTTACAACAAATGTAAAGCATTATTGTTGAGGGACTCATCCAAGCATTTGGCAAAATCAATTAGTCACTGCAAATTATTGATGTCTTTTGCCTTTAAAGCAGGCTTTTAAATGTCCAATAATATTGTTTTTGATGCTTGAAATGTCAGCTTTGAATGATGAGGTGATCAGACACCACTCTCCTGTGAGGTTCTTTCAACACCTGTTTGTGTCAAAACATTGCTCTTTTGTATCAACACATGTGAAGAACTCTTTGATGGCACTTCCTAACCTCACTATATGCATTGGTTTGCAGTGGAATGATGACAAATCAAGACTTTGCCATAGCAATTTAAGCAACAATGTGTAACCTTCTGAAGGTAGCAGGTCACCTGCATGATTCTAAGTTAAAACCATACTTTAGAATATTGTCTACTGAAATAACTAGTTTTATGCTACATGTTTTTCCATCCAAAATGGAAGTGAAAGTGTATTTTAACAATTCAGTGATTATGATATCATTTTAGTGTATCCTCAAATATGATCTATAACAGGAAGCTGAAACCCAAGTATAGCTTCTGTGGATCTGTGTACTCTAGACTAGATCACTTATCTTAACTATCCCTCTCCCTCCCTTTTATAATGCGTCCATATAAAGGTGGAGATCATCAGGAGGTAAGTCATTTATTGATTTGTTTGTATTTATTTATACTATTATTGTTAATGCCTATTTTAATCTCAATATGTCTGCTGGAATGTTTGTGACGTATTGCAGCTGGAAAACTAAATTTCCTTCAGGATTAATACAGTATATACCCCTCCCTCTGTATTGGAAGGTGAAGTTTGGTAACCCAGTAGTGGAGTGACCTGAGTGCGCAGTGGGCCCAGGATCAAACAGAGCACTGGAGCTGAGAAAGCATCACTTGTTGAGTACAAAGCACATAAGGCCTTTAGAGCCCGAACTCAGCCTCCACAAATACACCGCTTGACCACTTCAAACAGCAGCGGCCTCTCAACTTCATTAGCTCACATGAAAGACACGCATTCATCTTAACCACTGTTTGATGCAATGCACTGACCAGCAATGATCAGCACTTACTTTAGGTCAGAATAACTGATACATGTTGTGTTGCTGTCCTCTTGTGTTTAGAACTAAACAGGCATGTAGCAACCTTGTATAAGGGTATGTGCGATATTAATCTTTGAAATTTGGGTATGTTCAGTGCAGTTGAATAGGTTCTAAATATCTTTCACTCTCCATCTTCACTAACATGTTGCTGTTAAATGTTTGTACTAACATAATCCTGTAATCCTGTCTTGTCCAGCATACACATATGTCCATATGTGTACATAGGTGTGTACATATGTTTTACTGTTTGCAGCATCAACCTGCTAGGTGGTCTGTACATGGAAATTATGCCAAGGCTATAATCTGGCATGTTTGTCTGGATGTGTTCATTACTATGGATTCTTCCCCTTTTTTAATGAATATATAGAGTTTACAAGAGTTCTAGCTCTATCAACTCTTATGAGACTTATATATTTTTTGAGTTGGTGTCAGTTGCAATGTTTACAGACAAGAGTCTAAATATTGAAACCTAATTATGTGTTCATGCAAAGACCCTTAGTGAATATAATGCAAATACAATTACCATTCTAAAAATGACACTTGTGGTAAATGAGTCTGTGAGAGAAGTGTAGGAGCCTCTTAGATAGACAGATGTGTTTAAAACATGAACCTGATTAAAGTCAGGGAGCTGCTGTCAGTGCTGTTCCCTGAAGGCCGGAAACAATCAGTGCAGGCATGATGAAGTGAGCTCTGCCCTCTTTTACTGTCAGAGCCAGAGGGGATGCTACTGGTATGTCTGCTCATATATCCATGTAGTTTATGCATTAGCACTCATCGCTCATAGTTCACACGGTGCCATTATCTTTTGGAGCACAGAACTTTCAGGAAATTAGAGGTCTACTTATCCTACAGTGAAAAAAAAAAATTCAAACCCGACTAGCCTTACATCAAAAATGAACTGAACATTGAAGAAAAACATTTGAAATTTCTTTTTTGTGAATCCACCAATTACAAATTTCTTTAATATATATAATGTGTATTCTGCAATAGAAATAATTTTCTGACTCACTCCCTATTCCCCATTCAATACTGGCCACACCACAACACCTCTCTCTTAAAAAAAGGTTTATCTACATTTTCCTGTATTTGATTGCCTTTTCCTGCCAGTTTTCCATCCCCACCTTTTTCTGTATCATCAGGAGGAGCAGTTAGTAATTACAAATGACGGAATAATTCTTTCCATAAAAATTCCACCCAACACAAATAGAGATGTAATACTTTTCCACAACACCAGAAGCAGAAGTGATGGGCACTCTGTTTACCTGAATAAAAGCACTGCTGGGGGTGTTACTGGTGTTTATTTATAAATTAAAGGGTATATAAGATTGCAGTGACCAAAAGTGAAAAGTATTTGATGTATTATACCAGGTTAGTAAATATGCTAGTTTCTGTATTGCCTCTAACAGAATTTAAAGGTCTTATATTACACAAAACTGACTACTGTGAGCTTTAAGCTTTGTTACATATTGTTACCTCCTGAAAAACAGTAACCCTTTGTTATTAATCTGTTTACATCTCCAAAGCTCAAATGCTCTGTTCCACCTTGTGATGTCATGTAGTCTTTTTCAAGTTATCAGCTCCTTTTACCTTTAGTTCAATAGAGATTGACAGTAGCAGGGCTGAAATTATCCAAATGATTCTAGTGAAGATGTATAGACTATAGAGTTTTAATATTTGGTTTGATTGGCTTGATCTTGGCACCTTGATACAGTGATAAATTCATTGGTAATAATTTAGAAGTCATGCATTGTTGCTGGTCCTGGAAAGCCACAGGTGGGCTGTGAAATGCACGATCTACTGCCCTCTAGTGTCTGCCCTGTTTCTCCACTGAGATAAACTTTTTTACGTCAGCAGTAGAAATAGATACAGGGACAGGCAGAATGGTCTCTTCTCTTATATCTGCTGATAACCCTTTAGAGAGCATACAGATAATGTGAGTCTACATCCTGTATGTGTAGGAGGCAGACTCAATGTCCGGATGCCCAACAAGTACCATCCTTCCTTAAGAAAACTATGACATTATCTTTTATCATGTTTTTGGATCCTACTTTAACACTTGGCTGGCATGGAGCTGGCACATATTGTAAAGTGTGTGTGTGGTATTTTTAGACTATTGTCAGACCAAACCCTGATTTGTTACACACACTGCAAAAATAAATGAACAAATTTGCTACAGTAGCATCTTTTTCATCTGCAGACGGCATTTAAACTTCACTGAATAACTGAGTCCAGGAAAGTGACAAGCTGCAGTCATTACATGGATTTTGCATGTTTCTTGTAAATCAAAGCAAAACTTGAGCAGCAGACAGGCAGTGTCACTTGTCGAAAAACAGTAAAGCAGATTATACATTAAGACGCTTCACTAAATATAGGTTTAGTGTTAAGTCCTGTTCTTTGCTCACTGATCAGACCAGTGTTTTCTTGAGCTGATATGGGAGACACAGCCACCCTATTTTCCTGTGCAGGGGCTATCATCCCTGCGTGGCACATATTGTGAAAAATAACAACACACATTTTCCAGGTGGGAGTTGTAATCTGGGTGTTCCACTTACTAAAGCCAAAACGTGAAGATTTACCCATGTGAAGCATTTATTTAAAATGGCTGCAATAATGTATGGACAAATTCTGTTATATATATCCACTGTCCACAAGATGGCAATGGTATTCCAGTAAATGTTTGAGTCTAAAACGTCTAAGTATTTTTATTGAGTACAGTGGATATGGATTACTGAGTTTTCCATGCCTATATTAAACCATTCATATGAATGTTTTGTGTAGACAAGATTGCATTGATAATACCCTGAGATAATAACAGCGACGTACATTAGATACATATAATAGTTAAGCATACAACTACAAAATAAATTCCTTTTTTGTACGGTGCAGACACAATAAAGGATCCAAGGGGAAGTTGTCTGTACTTTGGTTGATCAAATTAAAACAATATTTACATCATAGGCTGGACATAGAAACTGATTTTTTGGTTATAACTGAAAAAGATGCAAGTGCACTTTATTGGACCAAATACGTTTTTGTGAATTTGGTAAAGTTTCTTACAAATGGATGTGGTCAGATGGGGGTGCATTGTCATTGTAACATATTTATAAATCAAATACAAATTTAAAAGGTTAAAGCCAAGATAAGAGGTTATCCAAATATTATATGTGCGATCAAATATAGACAATAAAATTTGGTTGCCAGAGTACAAAAAATTGCTTTAGCAGTAATGGGCTAATAGTGGCAGTAATATTAACTATTCTTTTCAAAAACCATCATCCAAACCAATACATAATCAAACCACTTTTTTTTCCCCAAAAAATATAATGAAATTAAGTAAATACAATTAGAGTTGTTTTTTTTGTTTTGTTTAGTTTTTTTTTTAACATTCTTAGGACATTTCACTTGCAAATCTGTTTATTTTAGGGAATGAAGATGTGTGACTTGTGTGCTAGTTGTTTAATGAATATTTTTTATAATTGAGTATAGATCTCTTTGACTATTTTTAGCTGAGTAACAGGATTTTGGCTATAGTTCATACTGTCCATCATGTTTCTTTTCCTACATTGCTGCATTAACAAAAAGCACCATATGAAATCTTAAGTCTGTAGGTTAGTCTGCTCACATTTGACTTGATGTAATGAAGACATAGATTCTGGCCAGAAAGGAGGTGAGCGTGCCTTGTCTCTGCAGCTTCATCTCCACATCAATGAGGAAGTCCTGTGGCTCTCTGATCGCTCTCTGTATGTAGACTGCTCCTGTGTGACTGTTGAGTTTGCCGGTGCTGAAGTAGCCTTCTTCATTGCCCTTGGTGATCTTAATAAAGATGTGGTCGCCAGCATAAGTGGGAGAGGGGCCTATCCTGAATATCTGTGCGGGTACAATGATGTTTGTCTTGAAGCTGAGCTGGTAGTAGGTGATGCGCATCGGTGAGTTCCGACAGTCCAAAGAGTTGGGGGGACAGCTGACCCTTTCACAGCGCCTGTAACACACACGGGTGAATTTCATGATGGTTAAAGATTAGAGGAGAGTGTTGTACTTTAAGCTGTTGTGACTATTCACCATTTTCATACATCCTGTGACACACTGCGAGTATAACAAATATAAAGGTAGCAAAATTGTAGTGATTCTGAGTAGTCAACTCACGTGTCAGTCACTTTGTTATAGTTGTGAGGACAGTCAAAGGACAGACACCTGAAGCCCCCCTGGAGATTATAGCAGCTCTGTCCAGTGGAACAGTTATGAGAGCCAGTTGTGCACTCATCAACATCTGGAAAAAAGTTTAAAAAACAACATTTGTATTAGTAAAAATAAAAAACAAAACAAACAAACAAACAAACAAAAAAAAACTCAACATACCATGGATGCTGTGATCTATCTGGGTTTTGAAGCTTTTTTTTTAAAAGTTCCCACCCACCTTTGCCAACTTCTGCTTATGTAAGTATCAGATGTATTTGGTCCCTCACCTTTACATGTGCGACCATTTGCAGCCATGACATATCCATCAGGAGGACACGTGCACCGGTAGCTGCCATCAACATTGACACACTGGAAGGCACACAGGTTCCCCATACTCTGAGTACACTCATCTATATCTGCAAATACCACAAATCACAAAGTTTAACACTGAGTCTTGCTCTAAAAATGTGAACACAACTGCTGATGCTACCTTCACAAGTGCGCCCGTCCTCCTTCAGGTAGTAGCCTTGGCGACAGTAGCACTGGTATGAGCCGTAAATGTTGGCGCACTCTTGACTACAGGGTTTTTTCTCGCACTCGTTTATGTCTAGTGGACACATACTGTATAATTAGATTTGGTGAACACATATTAAGCAGTGTGTTAATTAGTAGATCTTTTTTACAAGTTAGGGCTGTGCAATTAAATTAAATTAAGTAAAAATTTAATCAAGGCTGACATTCAGTAATTTCTTGAGGAAAACATTTGACATTTCTTTTCATTAAAAGTCTGAATAGTTTATGTTCAGGAAATGAATAGTGAAAGTCATGTCATTCATTTTACATGAGACAAAATACAACTGAGAAAACTACAGTATATTGGCGAGCACTTGTATGAGCATAGGAGTCTTTGTTTCTGTCTTTGATTTGTAAGCATAAGACCAGACTTATGCAAGTTATATCTCTGCAGGCTGAACAGAAAAAAAGTTATCTTGAAGCTGCTGAATGATGACTGACTCCCCTGAACCACCAACAACATTAAACTCCATCAGATCATTTGCTTTGACCAGCAAACCTAAATTAAGATTTGAGAGGTGTTTGGTTGCTGATAACAGCAATTGAGTTCCCTTGATTTTGGCACAATATCCATGCTTCAAGACTTCTGCATGGATACAAGATGAATTTTACTAGTTGCCTGTCTTTAGTATTTCTACCAGAGTTAGACCTGTTACTACAACAAACATTGAAGCATGATAGCATGATATACAGAGAAATATTGCAATCAGCAATTATATTGAAACTACTACTCACACAAAGCAGAATAATCCCAGTAAAACTATTTTTCAATATACAGTATCATTAGAAGGTATGAGCTGCAGCAAAAAAACAGCAGAATGTACCAATAATTAGAAAGAGCAGTTTATTCAACCCTCTACAGCTCAAATCATTAGAATTCACAGGCAAGTATATTGTCTATAAATAAATAAAGAACGCAAGAAACAAGACCAATCTGAAAATCTGTTAAACTCTGTTAAATACCACTAATTGCTGTTATTACCTTCGCAGTTTTTGCCATCAGGTGCTAGGGAGAAGCCGGAGGTGCAAGAGCAATGATAAGATCCGGGGGTGTTCTCACAAGTTTGGGAACACAGGCGCCCAGGAAAACGCCAGCATTCATTCACATCTGTAAAAAAAAACATAGTTCAATCATTATAAAGTGTGACCAGTGAGGGCCACCTAACTAACCAAGTTTCTTCATCAGTCTCACGGCTTTAATGGCACTCACCATTACAATGCTTGCGCAGGGCGTCATACTGGTATCCTGACTGACACTCACAGCGGTAGGAGCCCGGGTGGTTATGACAGATCTGACCAGCTCCACAGTGGTGAGATCCCACCTGGCACTCATCTACATCTGTGCAAAGAATCATAAGCATGAGAGATGGTCAGATATGGATATTTTAAGCTGAGATAATGTTTAGTTTTTATTCTTTATTTTGGATTCCTATTTGTTATTACTGCAGCAATAACTATTCATCTTGGATCCACATAAAACACATAGACAATATAAGCTTGTCTGGTATTTGTAACCAGTATTTGCCTTTATCAATTTAAAGATTTTTAAATGTATGACAAAGCCTGCACATTGAAGTGAACTGTATTATATTTATATACAGTATATGTCCTTCATGTAAGCATGGGCACATAATAACCCAGTTTCAGTGGTCCTTAACTGACCCCCTTAGCTCTGATCCCAGAAGAACATTCAGTAAAATTTTATTTGTCTAGTCAAATCTCAATGACAGGGCTGGACAAAAACATGCTCCTCACCGACACATGCGTCTCCTTGGGCATTGGCGTGGTAACCGTGGCTGCAGGTGATGCTCTTTTTCTGGCAGGTGTAAGAGCCCACAGTGTTGATACAATGAGAGCCTGGACCGCATGGATCTGCTCGACTGCTACACTCATTAATATCTGTGCAATAACAGGATAATTCAAATCATGGATAACAAAGGCTTTTCTACTTAAAGGTCCTATATGATGCAAAATTGATTCTTGTGAGCTTCTGGACATATTAGAAAGTTGTTAACTCATCAAAAATAGACCTGGAGTTGTGTTTTGTTTCATTCACATGTTTGTGTAACCCTTTATTATTAGTCCATCTACATCTCCAAAGCTAAAAATGCTCTGTTCCACCTTATGATGTCATGAAGGGGTAGTTTTCAAGTGAACACTACTTTTTAGTTTTAGTACAGTAGAGATTGGAAACATTATAACAGAAAATAGCATAATATAGGCCCTTTAATATACACTCTCAGCAGTTTGACAGTCTATCAAGGAAGTCTGATTATTAACTTACCAATACAGTTCCCATGGGGGTCCTGTGTAAATCCAGTGATGCATTTGACTCTAGGTCGACAGCGAAATGAACCTGGCGTATTTTCACACACAAAAGTCCCTCCACAATTATGAGTCTGTAACTTGCACTCATCAATGTCTGAAAAGATAAAAAAGAAAAAAAAAAAGAAAAAAGTTGTTATTATCAGCTTCTGTACCTGCAGCCTAGGAGTTGTCCAGTAGGTGTCACTGTGGCTCAATGTATGAACAAACCGGTGAATAGGCCATCATTCCTTCCTGTCAATATTGGAGTAAAATGTGCAGAAATACCACTGCATCCAACTCTGCAATTAACTCGGAAAACTTGTAATTTGACAGCTATTGAATCTGGAAGGGATGGATGATGTTTTATTGGAGAACTTGTCTTGCTACTTTTTCTTTTTCATAGGCAATTTCTCACAGTTTATATCTGGTCTTTTGAGATAAATGCCACAGCACACCGGGTCTTCATGCTTGCGTTCTCCTCCTTTGTGACTTCAGAGATGGATTGGTCATATCCGAAGAATTATATTACATTTTCCTCATTGTTGAAAATAATTTTCCAAGACTTTTCCAGGTTATTAAAAGTTGTAACTACAAATGGTACTCTGTGTATTGGGCATAGTTATTCCCCTGGAGTCTACACTTGGAACTATTTCAGATATAAACTCATTCTCCTTTACACATGGAGAAGTATGGGTCCATGAGGAATGCTCGAGGACAAATGACTTGCAGTTATTTTCCGATCAAATTAGATGAAAACAATACAAGGGACAGAATGATATAGCTGGAGCATTCTTCAGTGTGTTACAATGAGCCTTGGGGTGAAACAGTGCAGCTGGATCTGAAAATGACCGCACAAATTAGGTACAAAATGAGATCACATCATGTGGAGCTTTGATCAAATCTACAGTGAGTTGTTCGGTGTACATGGCCATGCTATTATTGATACTATAACACAGACAACATCTCCAAAAAATCAATTTTAGTGATCCAGATTTTAGAGGGCCCATATCATACATGTTTCAATAACCCTTCTAAGTAAGTCTTCTTGTGAGTTATTCATACGCCTACAAACACCATATTGATTGACCAATGCATATATGAATCCCTTATTGTCCTCCATTTTAGGCTTTTCACATATCCTCAATCCCTGCCCAGACCCCATACTTGTCATTATAAATATACACATATATATATATATATATATATATATATATATATATATATATATATATATACACGTACAATTAAAAATGTCACATTTTTCCACAAAACATATTGATGAAAATCATGTGCTACGGCTATAAAGAGGTGGGTTCTCAGAGATCTGCAGGTCCGTTGTCTTATTACGAAACAATTTTAGATCAATAACAGAGAACAAAATGTATGTACATTTGTCTATGTAACAGTAAATTGGAAAAAGGATTAATAGTTATGGAGTGTATAATGTTGGTATACTGACTCACCCTCACAGCGTCCGTTGTTGAGCCGATGTCCTGGGGCACAGGTGAGGATGCGCTCACACACAAACGAGCCCAAAGTGTTTCTGCAGCGCTGGCCTGCTCCACAGCTGTGAGGCAGGCCCAAGCATTCATCCACATCTGCAACAGAGGACCACTGTGAGACTTAGCTATCCAACCTATAAGCTCCTCCAAGTACTCTGCATCACTCCATCAACCAAAAATGCACTCAGTGCAGATACTCCTTATCCTGACCCTGAACCAAGGTCTTCACAAGATCAAGATAAAATGAATCAAGCCATCGTTGAAACTTCTTGACAGGTTGGCCTGATACAGGCTTCTTTATGGTTCAAAGGTGCTTTATCCAACTTCTCTGATCGAGAGTTTGTCTTCTGCTTGTCTCCCTGGAGATGTTATTCCTTTGCCTGGAATGTGCCACAGTATAGCATTAAACTCAAACATTAAACATCTATCTTCATGGAGACCACCTGGTGACAAGTTTTTTTTTAGTTTTTTTTTTTTAGAAATAAAAACACTAATCAAATGCTAGATAGATAAGTTTAATGCCACACAGGATTATATTCCAAGCAAATCAATAAGCTCTTTATGGAGACAGCAGGTAGCGGGCCATCCCCCAAGTTAGTGCACCTTTGAGGATCAGCTTGAAAAACACACACACACACACACACACACAAAAAATGTGTGTGTGACATGTGTTTTAGCAACCAAATGAAATACTACATTTTATCCTTCAGAAATATGGGCAGTACTTTAATTATTCAGCAACAGCAAACAGTAGTCCTAGGGTAAAGCAGCATTCTGATTCATATTCATATTCCCATCATTGCATCAACATTCTGTATTTGTGCATTGGAGACCAGATATATCAGCTTTGAACAGGAGCAGCTTTGCAAATCCCATGACTAATTAATATGATCTGGTGCGGGGCGAAATGTTTCTGTTTTTGTGGTTAGTGTCACACAGTTGAGAGCTTCTGAATCTGTATCTGACAAACCATGCTGATTTACGACACTGGCGCATCATTTTGCATCAGTGGATTTCTTATCATGCACAACAGTGACTAGACGATGGGCCGGGTGCTCTGATAGCTCTGGACCAGGACTGCTGTTAGTCAACTCCATCTTGTGCATCTGTGTTCATTCTGGCACATGTCACAAATCCAGGTTTAAACATCAGTGCAGAATCCACCATTCCACTGGGAACGTGGTAGAAAATACTGCTATACACCTCTATGAAAAAACCCAAAGACAAAATGGAACATATTTTCACATTTTGTTGCTCAGTCTGTGGATCTTTAGAGATGTTGCAGCTTGGGGGAGTTTAAATGTTGTGTCTTGTAGTCCACAGAGAGACCACAGTGTAAAAGAAACATCTGAGATTCTCCTCTGGGAACATCACCTCATACACAGGCCTGTCTGTCAGCATACACAAGCTCTAACATGCAACGTGTCATCCTGTCCAGGGACTGACACAAACACCCAGGCTCCAGGGCTCCTATAGCAAATATTCTGTAAAACCAAGCCAACCAACCAACCTTGATCTGTCTGACTAATGTTTTTTGTTTACGGCTTTTGCACTAAAAATAGCTTCCACCAGGAAACAAATTTGTCCTCAATCAAAGAGACCCAACACAGACATTTGATCATCCAAAGAACAAATCAAATCCTTGTACCACATAAATGTGTATCACTTACCTATGAAGCAGTGTCATCACCATTTACAGACAAAATTAACAATGTAGGACAACAAATGTTTCACTGTTTTCTTAAAATATTGCTCTAACTGCATAACTAATCAGGGTCATCTGAATAAAACAATAAGACTATGAATAAATGTAGTATCCGCCATTTATAAGTAAATTATTTCATGTTCAATGGTACATAACAAGACTGAAACAAAACTAAACCTGACAAAAGCAGTGTCTGACCAATGGGAAATCCAAAACTTATGCCATTTCTGCTTTCTTAATCAAGAAAGTTATGAATGAATTTGAACTCCTCATACTGAAACAGTCCTGATCACTCTCTTTTATTTACTACATGCCTGATGCCCACACTGTTTATTGGAATAAGTCCCTTCATTCGGTTCTCAACATGGGGATGGTGGCCACGAGCCCACCACTCAGCTCTAGTGGACTGCATTTTCCACTGCATCATTCAAAACACAAATGCCTCAAGGTTCCTGCATTCAATGCTGGCTCCCCTAGGAACGCCACATTACATAGTGGTGAGTGGCGAAGTGAGCAAAAATGGAACAAAGAGGCTATTTTCTGACAAAAAGCATGATTGCTTTGCTGAAAGGAAAAGGGTTTATAAAATAAGGGTTATTTTTCACCCCAGACACAATGCCCTGTCTAAAACAGCACATGCTGTATCAAAAGTCTGCCTCCAATCAGTTTAGAGGGAAATATAAATAAGTACCATGTCTATTATCTGTTCTCTATCCCTGATTATTTTAATTACTTTTCCATTCCAGCCAAGGGATCATAAACCAATAAAATTTTGGTGTGAGTCCAAATCTTGGTTATAAGGAGGCCTTAAGATTTTAAATATATGTCAAATAGATTTTCCTCACTTTAGGAAGTGAGATGTTTTTTTTTTTTAGCTTTGTTATGATGACCTTAAATGACCTTTCAGCTTGTATTTCACAGTTAAGAGGAGGGCGAACGTGTAGTTTGATTGATATCAGAACAGAGGAGAAAGTATTCCAGTCATGCAAATGTAATAACTATGTCTGTAATCTGCGGCATTGGACAGCACTGAAGGTCTTAGTGGGAAGAGCATCATTAAGACATTTGAAAGTATCCAAAACCAACTAAATGTGAAATGGTCCATGATTCTGAGAACTCCTCCACATCTGTCAAAAACGTAGATGTGTAAAATGCAAGTTTCAGCATCGAGTAAGGAAAAAACAACAAAACTGTACAATAAAAAAAAAATAAAATGTTAACACACCTCAACAAACCATTAATTAGAACATTCACAAGAGTGTAGACCCATAGAAACTAGTCAGTGCAATCCCTCTTTCATCCAGCTCGGGTCCAGGGTAGAAAAGAAAATGTTTCTGAGGTAGTCATCTGGACAGTAGCTTTTCTACCTGATATACTTTTATAGTCAAATAAAGGTTAAATAAATAACAAAGATTGGGTTAGTTTATTTGCCATTAGTCGCACATCAAAAAACCTGCAAAAAGCTGTAAGTGCACAGTGAGACATAAAAAACAACCACATGAACAAATAATAGACATCTTTACAGAAGACTTATTGACACTGTGAAATAAACAAGATACAAAGATTAAGTAGCTAAAATATTAAAGTGCAACATCAAAGTTCAAAATGCGTTGTTCAAGAGTATAACAAAAATCTACTACTATAAGATATTTAATACAGGTTTTATGCTATGTTCTTTGCAAAAACATAAGTATGAATATTCCACTCGTACTGTTGGACTGGTTGTTGCTCTAAGGACACATTGCCCAGATTTTCAAAGGTAAAATAAAGATTAAAGTTCAAGTATAAGGAAATATGCTTAGGTTAAAATATCTGGACAGGGCCTTGGGTGTTCTATTGTTCCTTCATGTCTCCCTTACACTCTGCCCACCCAGCTCCCACATGTGGAAACAATCTGGAATCGCCCAGCACTTTGACAGTGTGCCTGTACAGCAATACCTACTCACACGATACTAATGAAACGAACAGTCTCCAGTTTAAATGTCACATTGAAATTTCCAATAGCATGTATGTTTTGTGTATGTGTGTGTCAAACTAAATAAATGGTACACAGCATGCTGAAACTGCAGGATTTCCGGTCATCAGTGGTGTGAATGGCTATAAAAGGGTAAATTTACTGCTGAGATTTGTGATGATGATGTGGGAGGTTGATGAGCGGCTTTATATGCTGTAGTTTTCAGTCTTTAAAGGGCACAGCAACACAGAGAAAAAAAGGATAATATTTTCCAGGTGAGGGCACAAATGCTGCATCATAGTCTAGAATTTCAGCATTGCAATTGATTATAAACTACTAGAAAGGCGTAATGAGTTTTGCATTTATTCAGTCAGTGTATACACATAGTGCTCGGTTTGGTAGACACTAGTTACTGTAATTCTCTTTCCTGTCCCTACACTTTATCACATGTCCATCACTTGGATCTCACATCTCAAGAGATTCAAATCATATTAAGTATGTATATTCTCTCCACTGCAAGTTATTGGATAAGTACTCTTTATGTTTATAGTTAAATCACAATACTCTTAAATACACATTTTACATTACAGGAGACACATTTTTCTTGCTTCTAGTGGTAGCATTACAACTTCATATATTAGAATCTGAAAGCAATCAAAAACTGAAAAATTGCAGAAATTTCTACAATATTTAAGTCTGACGTTGACCAGTGACATTTTCGCAATTTGATTTTCTAACATTCTGTTGATTAAATCAGCAATTTTGCTTGTTAAACCCTGCAAGGTGACTGCTGTGATTTTGAGCTGTACAAAAACTGAATTGGACTGATTGGACTGATTGCGTGGTAGCATTATGGTTTAGGAGGAAACTAATGTCACTTTCAGCGAGAGTGATTTCAGATTGATGTATAGAACTCAAATCAATGGTACACTTATGGTCACATTATGTGAAATGCTGAGCTCATACCTTGACAGGTGCGTCCATCAGTCATGAGAGAGAAGCCTGGGAGACAGGAGCAGAGCGCACGCCCCCCAATCACACTGCACTTCTGACCACACTGTCTATCTGCAACACAACACACAAACCTACATGACCACATGACAATTAATACACTTTGATTTTAATTAGGACAAAATACCAGATAAATATACTTCCATATAACTTGTGGCAGAGATCTTACACTGTATATTTTTTGGCATTTCATTTAACATGTAAGGCATTGACTGTTTTTGTTCACCAATATTTTTGGTAGCTAATGTAACCAAAGTGACATTACCTTCACATGGGTTGAAGTAAAGTTGACTGCTGGTGGTAGTGGTCTTGGTGGTGCTAGTCTCAAAATAGTCATCATCTTCTGTTACTCTGTTGTCTTCATCAGGGCTCTCTGTAAAGAGACATGGTCCCTTTAATTTGGAAAGTTCTTCTGAACTTGACTCCACATGGAAATCCAATTTAGAAATCTTTGACCAGTCAAATCCTGTTCTCTTCCTTGCAAAGGGCCCAGAATATATCTCCAAATATAAAGTCAGGGCAGGGCACTTGTCCCAAGCTGCATGTTTTTGTCATTATCCTCATGAGTGCAGAGAGGTCTCCATATAAATTATGTTTTATTTGAGGTCGTTGAGAATTTTAATGAGGGCATTTCTGAAGCTCGTGCTCAAGTGCCACACTGCTGTATGATAATGAAATCAATTGTAGTATAACTGCTGAGTAATCACCAGAAGATGACTACAAACAAGCACTTTCTCCATATAATTTGTAAAATTATATAAAAATATAAGAACTAAACATAACTGAATACCAAGAAGAACTTGCCACAACATGGACAAACATGTCTTTACCTGTCATTGTTTAAAAGCATCAAAACATATTCTTTGTCTTTTGCAATTTTACAGCAAAGCTAAATTTATTCTTATATGGTGAAATTTGGTTTATGAAATATAATTCACAGACTGTGAGTGGAAAGCACGAAGTCTCATAGTGTGAGTGACCTGGTGTACAGGAGTGTCCGTCTGGCTGCAGGGAGTACCCATGATGGCAGCCACATTGGTACGAGCCATAGATGTTGGTGCAGGTGTGCTGGCACAGCTGTCCCGCGTACACCTGGCAGTGGTCCATGCCATCCTCCTCCTGCTGTGTGTGTGCTGACTCCGCTGTGGCAGATATGGAGAGGGCCTGTCTGGGGAGCGGGCTGTTTAACACTGGAACAGAGAGAGGGGTGGGTCCATGAGGGAGAACAACCCAAATTAGAGACAACAGCAGAAGTCTGGTTAATGTATGAATGCTCTAACTCTGTGGAGCTGATATGAACAGACAACATCTGCTCCTCCCTGGCATTCACATATGCATGTTTGCTCTCATTGCAGCTCCAATTTCTAAATTACCATAATTAAAAGAAAGCACCAGTCACCAAGTGCTCTGGTAAGGTTCAGGGGTGAGTGCAGAACTGTGGGACAGAATAAACATGTAACTAAGACTGTCATTAGTATATACATGGCACATTGTTGCTCATCTTCACTCAGCTTTTCAAGTTAAGGCAATCAAGCCTCTTCCTCCCAATTTCTTCCTCAGTGGCCAGTCTGGGCTCCACCACCAGAGTCTAAGGTCCACCACCAGAGTCTAAGGTCCAAAATATGACACACTCAATAAATCTGTCTAACAGTTGTCTCTGATTAGTCAGTCCAGTGTGAAGTTGAATAATACAGGATCTCATCACTGAGCCTCACTCTAAACACATAGATATTGTTTCTTACTTAATGTATGTCCCTAACAATAGAACTCCATTCACCTGTCACCATCCCAACGCCTCACAACACACCTCAACAACACCACTCTGTGGAGCTTACCTTTTCCTCACAGTCACTGGTTTACATTCAAAGGAGCAAGCCGAATGAATGTTTGCTTTTTAATTAAAAGGTGGTGAGTCACAGACTGAGAACATATCCCCTCATAGGAAATAATTACATCCTTTTTTCATCCATAAAGACTGACTACACACACAAGGCATTCACAGCTTTGTGCAGGTTAATAACCTCCCAACCAAAATGACTTCATCTGAACGTGCCTTTAAAGAGAGAAAATAGTCAACAGTCAGTGGCCTATTAAACTTTTCAAAAAGACGTCAGTGCTGTGATGTTTAGGACCTTTACCTCAGATACAACTGTCTCTAATAAAAGAAACCCAGCTGTGCACAGACGTTCCAAATGTGTGGTGTTAACTCAGATGTTAAGTTAACAACCTGCTTGAATAATGACATCTGCTGCAAGTAATCAAAGGAGCAAGGATAAGGACAAGGAAGAGTCTGTGACAATTAAGACAATCATTAACAGATGAAGGAATGTTCAGTCTGCAAATCTTTATTTATTTAAGTTAGATAAATTGTGATATAGCTGGTGTTTTTATATATACACACACAGTGCAAACTTGTTATTTGAGGCAAAATACATAAAATGTATTATTCCTACAAGATAATTCACCCCACTTATAAAAGATAACTGAACCTGACTATGGCAAACAAATTGTGTGTCAAATAAAAATCACCCTTTTACAGTTTGCATATCTTATCCATTGATGTTAAAGTATACAGCAAAGAATGGAAATTCTAGTACTAAAAAAAAAAAACTTCATTAAACTTTCATGTGCAAAACAAACTGAAGCTGATACTTTAAAGAGCATGTTTGCATGTGTATACTGCAAGAAAATGCAAGCTCACAATTCAGGGACCTCAGGACCTCAGGTAAAAGCATTGTCCTGTCTCTCCATAACATTCTGAAGTACAATACGGTCACCCACTGGCTATTAAATGGTGCATATCTTATAGAATTCTGCTGTACTGTATGTGCCTTTGGCTTTATGTCAGAGTCGAGAGTAGACAGTTGGAGTCAAAATCTGGCAATAATTGAACCCAGCTTTGGTGCATTTTTGCTTTCACATTGCTACCTTCCAACCAGTCAAACTGCACTTGGGCAGATGATCAACGTCTGTTCAAACATCAAAACGATTTGGAACAGGAAAAATATTGAACAATATTTTGGACAAACACACCTTTGTTTCTTTCAACAACAACAACAGCACTTTTAAAGTCATTATCACCAGTCATAAAGAAAGGATGCAGTGCAATGGAGGAGAACTGAGAAATAATAGAGAACTAAAACAACAATGTGAAAAGGAATTCTTCTTTCTGTGAATTGAAAGGTCTCCCTTTCCCTATGTTACTGTACCTATTTCTCATATTTTTTTATAAATTGCTTTAGAGTTAAGATAAATACAATGGTAAAGGTAAACAATGAATGTGAATTATCTTTCTTTTATAGATTACTGATAACCATCACTGTATCACATTCATCTTTTATTTTATTATTTAGGCCTACATGGAAATTGTACTCTTGTATTACATAAATGTGATGTGCCTTAACCCTATTGATAATATGATCTGTGCTGCAATAGTACTTCAAAAGTAGTTATTTTATGCAGTATGTGTATATGAAACCATAGTCATAGGCCATGGTATATGTAAATACATTGGTAAAGTGCCTGATGTACCTGTACCTTGTCTAGGTCGTGTGGTAGCTTGAACACTGTGTTTACTCCACAGGAGGGTGTGGCTGGGGGCTAGTTCATCTTCGCAGCAGGTCAGGAAGACATGTCCACAAGGATACCCCAGGAAGTGGTGACTGTCACAGCTCAGACCCTCACGCCGCACCTGCACACCCAGGGCACAGCAACTGCAGCACACCTGGACACACACAACACTGGAGGGTAACTGTTCAGCTAAATTTTTCATTTTAGAACATACAGTCAGTTGCAATGAGTGTGTTTATTATAGGAGTTGAACCAACAACCCTTTAGTAATGGAGCATAGTTGTAAAAACACAAAACTAAAAGTATCTGGTATGACATCTGAATATAAATAAAATATTGTTGGCGTAGGCAGACAGCTGAAGGAGAGAGTCATTCTAACAGAAGTATTCACAGGATCCAAGGCTGAGATTTTAGCCAAACTTGTCAGCCTGTTTGCAATTACTCATAAATCTACTATGGGAAAAGGAAACTTGTGGAAGAGTTAAAGATACAAGCCAATGGAACTTCAACTTATCTTTTAAAATCTCTTGTAACATTTTAATTTCCCTTTCATTGCACAATGGCAAAGTTGCAAATACAGTACAACTTTTTCCCTCCCAGCCTGCTGACATTTACAATGGAGCCCTCTGTACCAGGCAACAATGTATTAGATCAGTTGTTGAAGCTTTTACTCACTGGCTCACTGGTTACTTCACATAAAACCCTTTAAATGCCCAGTGGAGGAAGAACAGTGTTATATAAATGTAATGTTGAAAAATACAGGGAAAAAATGTAAATTTCTCTTTTGTCATAAAGTGTTTAAGAATCAAATGAGATTGACAGACATGAGATTGTCTCTGATTAATTAAGTGATAATGAACTTTAATGTTACGAGACAACAGAATATAACCCAGTGTGTCTTAATGGACCAAACCCAATTCTAATGAAAAGTTTATTTAAATGATCTGAATTTAACAATCCTTGTAAACCTCCTGCAATGCATAAATCTGCTCAGCACCTTATGCCACAATTAACAACACATTAGATCTTATAGACCATGATGCACAACATGAGATCTTAAAGTTTTATTCACTTTATGTCCACGAAGCATTCTAATAACCATAAGTCAGAGTAATGTACTGAATAAGGAAATGTGCCTTTGCCTTGGTGCTCATGGTCGACTGGGACTTGCCTGATAGGAGTCATCTGGACATGGGGCTTCCAGGTCCACATCACAGGGGCTCCCTGCACGGGCAGCTGTAACACCAGACTCACACTGAATTTCCCTCACTGAGCTTAGGCAACACTGCTTCTGAGCCAAACTGAAACAAACAAAAAAGACACTATGAATATGACCTAATATCATCCCTGCATGCAAACTATTGGCTTGGTGTGCCTTTTACCCTCAGGAGTTGTGATGGATAACAAACAGGCATAAAGTATAACTAGCTACATTAGACTCATTTGTTATGGACAATGTTATCTTTAACATTCAAAATATTGTCTGTACTGTCTTGTGGTGTACTTTTTGCACATGTTTTTCAAATGTGCTTTTTAAATACAAATAAACTAACCTAACCTTAATTTAAGGGATTACTTTACGATTTAGTAATTCATCTCCTTCTTTTAACAATAACATTATTCTTTTAACATTATTTTTACATATGCGGTAAGAATTTGTCTTTTCCCAGGTGAAAGTTGAATGCATACACACCTGCATATAGTGAACTTGTCATTGCTTAATGGTGGCATATTAACACAGTGGTCATTCTGTTTTGCCCACTTCTGTCCAGCAACACAGCAGCTCTGGACTAGGTCATCCTCCACTTCACCTGCAGATATGTTCCCAACAGTTATTCCAAATTACCTCCAGTGCACAGAGCAGACAGGAGCCCTCACACAAACACACTGTGAACTCCAGGAGGTCTCAAAGGTGCCTTCAACATTTCATCACATTCTCCAGAGGTAAAACTTAACTCCGAACACACAGACTTTATGAGGATTTTTTTCACTCACAGAGTGGAATTTGATATGTATCAGGTTTAAATGGCAGCATATGGAGTGGAAAAAGCTGCTCTACTCACTTTTTTGAAACATATGCTCAGAAAACAACATATGTTTAGAAACCAACAGACTCAAAAGATGATTGCACAGAGGTCAGGCAGTTTTCTGGGGCATTGAATGTGACTAGCCATTAAAATTACAAATCACATGTTGACAGTTCAAATATGTCTTAACATTTTGAAATGCTGTGGTTACTAAAAGAATGTACAGTATGAACCTATAGACCCAAAGCCATGAGATCCTTTCATCCACACATTAGTCTGCACCAGCCAGCTTAACAGAATTTGCATATTCGCCTTAATCTTAAAGCAATGAAATGAAAGAGCTTTGTTTTTTCAATTTCAGAACATAAACCTAATTTATGTCATCCCCAAATATACTGCAAGCAAAGGAACACATTTGCAAACATTAAACTACAACATGCAGCTTCCTGTTTGGACTTTATTCCACTAATGAATCACAGAGGCATCGCAGAATTAGCTCCACATGGCTCTCACTCAGATCAGATTTAACAGCGTGCTTTATTCGCTTTATGTGAACGACTTTGTTTTCACCTCAATAAGCCTAAACTATGCTAATCTATTCAGCACAGTGTACGTTCAGAAGTATGTCTGATACTGCCATTTTATGTCCCACTTGGAAACTTCACTAACTTCATTCTGCTCTCTCATCTGCATAATTCATCAAAGGGATTCTGTATAACAAATTGCGGGGAAATAGCTAAGTTAATTGTTTTCTTCTTCAGGGTTTATAACGGCAGAATGTGGAGGATCAACTTTAAACTGTCTTTGATCCGAGGTAAAGTACGGTAGTGTCTGTTTTATAGACAATGAAATCGAGCCCATTTCTGATTGAGGAACAAAGGGAGGAATACTAGCATAGAGTTGGACAGGTGTTGACCACATGTGGCAAAGGACTGTTGACTGACACATTTTAAATAAATAAAAAGTATACAAATATCTCTACGGGCACGCCGGTTCCAGCAAGTTTGAAGAGGAAGATACTTTTACATGTAATTATAGAAGTCATTGACCAAGGACTCAGCATGCAAAAATTATTTAATAATTAATAAAGGGTATGTGAGATGAAAGGGAGAGTATTTGAAAGAACAAATTAAATACTTTATTTGTTTGGGCATTTATTTATTTTCTTGTTTGTATTTGATGTTTGTGTCATTATTTTATGCTGGCTTTATTGTTTAATTTCAAATCCATGAAACCTCTGTTCAAACCTCTATTTAATCATATCAATATTTTTGAAAGCCGTTGTCAGGCCACAGCTATTGTGTTATTGGGCTGTATGATAAATAGATTGATTTGAATGAAGGTCAAAGAAGGTCAGACATGCTAAAGAGCGCCAGTGTTTGTTTAATGAGAATAAGCCCTGTGGCAGATATTAAACAAAACCATGACATTATCTATAGAGCAATGAAAACAAGGCTATTTATATCCACAAAAACAACTAAGAAGATAATATTATCTTTAAAAGCCAAATACAGCAGCCGCTCTGATAGAGTCAGGCATGTGTTAACTACAAGATGAGCGACCCACTAAGCATCCCCATTCCAAGATATCCTTCAGTGGTCTCGCAAAAATACAACAAGAAAATCTAAGAATACTGATGACTACACACATTTTTGGAAACAGTTTTGGTTCCACTGGTCTGCTTTTGTTCATGCAGTCCATACATTTTTATCTGGCTCATTCTAATCATTTCAGCGCTCAATATCACAAACCCATTGGATCATACCTATTGTTCTAGTGCAAGTAGAATATTGAATTTCTTGCCAGACAGTGAAGTGAGGGAGGGCAGTTCACTATTAACGCTAAATATTGTGACACAGTCTCTTTATTCAGGCTGTTAGATTGATAAAAAAAAAAAAAATACACAAAATAAATGTCTCAAATTATCCACAAATATTTTCTGCTATATGTTATGTCTTTCCCATGACTGGAGAGTGGTGAGATTCCAGGTCTGAGAACACGTGAAGCCCTGGAGAGAGAACACCTCAGCTCATTAGTCAGTCTGGACAAACAGAGGCTTGTCTGCAGAGCTGCCTCTCAGACATACAGTATGTCATCTGTGCACATCTGCATCACATCTGGACATCATCTCACACTGTCTCACACACCCAGGCCAGAACATGAATGTCTTATGAACAGACAATAAACCATGAATTTATTGATACATAACTGTCTGTTTGGATTGGATTATTAGCCCTCAGACAATGACTATAAAACCAGTTGTAGGGTGAGTACATATGGACTTGAAGAACGTGATAAAAAAAAAAAAAAGTATTTTGCAAAATGCACACAGAAAACTTCGATCAGTTTTTTATTTTTTTTTATTTGTACATATCTTGTGTGGTTTTGTGTCAACTGAAAAATCTTTCAGAGCCTTACTTGTATTTGCTTTGTTAGTCCACTTAGCCCCGCCTTTCCGAACTGTCAATCATTAGCCAATATACACTCAGTGTTTGAGTCTTGAATATCGTGTCTGTTGCTGCTTGACCAGCGAGATGCTAAACTTTATTAGTTATATGTAACTGATGACAACTTCTAATTGCGATAAATATTTGTATTCTTAAATTAAATGGTAAATGTGCTAGGAAATAAAAAAAAATTCTGTATGCTCATTTTGTATTCTTTATACAGGCCAACCTTAGTAACCAGATTCCTTATTTTTGTTTGTGGATCCATGTAAATTCCATCTCAAATATAGCCCTTCTTTCTATTTTTCACTGTTGTTTCTGCAAGTGCTTGATTAATAGCTTGCAGAAAGCTGCTGTCATAACAGTGGCTTCCATATAACTGCAGTTGGGGGATCAGCTGCTGAATAGCTTTTGACATTTACTACTGCTTAGAATTTATTTTAAAATATGTATTTTATTAATCCCAAACAAGCACAAGATAATCTGTTAAGCATATTCAATATTTTACAACAGCAGAAGACAATCACAAGAATAAAAGTTAAAAATTAATTAATGAATGGCAGAGAAGATGGAGTGAGTAATGACAAATTGTATGTTTATTTTTGTGGCTGAATGGTTAGGGTCACGGCTTTAGTAGTGTTTTTACAGCGATAAAACAAACAGGATCATGGGTAATGTCTCAGAGCAATGTGAGGAGACCAGCATGCATTAGTGTGTTTACCAAGAACAGCTCAGATTCGAGATTGATGGTTTAGAATTCATCAGGCTACAATGGCAAAGTTTGAAAGAGATTACAAGAAAACAAAAGTGACGTGAAAGTCATAATCTTATTTGAAATTTTGGCAAACTGTACATCACCGTGGTTCAGACTTTTCATGCATTTTTAGCTGTAAATGTGCTTTATATGTTATAAGACACTATGCATGGTCGGTTCAAAGAATGTAATCTGAAATCTCTGGAAACCGATGACTTCCACTACATACTATAAACAGTACTTGTGTCTGCTGATATGTTATTATGATGCTTGAAGCTACACCTATCTCAGGCTCAGGTGAGAAAAGACTGTACAAGATGTTTAAACCCCCATATCCTCTTTCTCCTAATACGCAACTTTTCAATTTCTCCAAATTCCTCCAATACCTCCCTTTATTTTCCTTGGTCCTCATAAAAACCTCAGCAGGTGTAATGTTTCCGTCATACCTCAAAGAACTGCCCATCCTCACATCATCGCTCTAGTAAAGTGCACAAAGAACCACTTTTTACTGCCAACTTGTAATTAGTGGCTTCCTGACAGAGGAGACCTGACTCCTTCTGCCCACAATCACACCCATCAAAGCTATTTCATTTAAAGGGATATATTTCTCAAAGTCATCACATTTAGAAGCTCAGGTGTAGTTTTGGTGTGACTGGTGTGACTTCCTGTAAAGGCAACAAGAGCTGCTCCATTGGGTTAGTGTTCTCTTGGATAATTACAGTAAGAATACACACTTTGACCTTTATGTAAAAAATTCTTCCTCTCTCATTGCAAAGTTGTGAGTAAATCTTCACTATTTCAAACATCTTGAGCTCTAATCCATCACCAGTCTAAAGATGAATACTACTGTTTATATACCAAAACAAATCATCATTTTGTTTTGTGGCTTCAGAAAATGAAAGGTTAATTGTATTGTTACTGTGCTGATTACAGACACGTGCAGCTGGTGGCCTTCATTCTGCTTTTAGGAATAAAAAGACATTTGTAGCTCACTGAAATTAGCTAAATCAACAAGAAGATAAAATATCATTAGACAGATTTCAACTAAGAATTGTTGTAGTGATAACAATTAGATTATTTCCCCACAAAATACTTGCTATTCACTTGACTACTAATGTACCTCTGCCATTAAGCCTTCTAGGCCTTAGTGTCTAACTTTCTGATGAAACAACTGCACCAAGTGAAGAAGGCTTCCACATATTCCAATAACAGAATGGAACAGAATGTCTTTGGGTGGAGGTAAATGTAATTAATATGCAAGATGAGAAACAATTTCATCCAATGTTTATCCTTAAAGTTTGGAAACTAGAATGTTGTACTTTCCTTGATGATTAAGTGAGCAGTCCTATCAGAAAACAGCGTATAGCTTCAGTTTAGCACGTGGTTTGCATTATCTTGCTCCCGCATGATACCTCCAAATACTGCAATGAAATGAAGATGGATAGCAGCAGAGCCAGCCATTTCCTGGCAGTCATGGCCTGGACTGACATCACATGTTAGAGATTCTCACTCCAATCATTTCCACTCACATTACTCATGTGTAATTGTAGATGAAATACTTTGATTTGTAAGAGCAAAATAATCCACCAGCAAATGACTTAAGTGTCCTGAAATGAGTTAGGAACTACTAACAGAGACATAACTATGTTTAACGTCTAACGCTGAATCTATAGAACAAAATGTATTCAGAGAAATAGGCACAGAGCCAGGTTTATGAAAAAGTGCCAGTGACAGATGTTAAAGACTTGTTCTGCATGCTCCACTGCTGCTACTATCGTTAGCCCATATACCACTGACTGATAAACTGTATTATCAGCCATGGGGCGAGCCCTGTCCTGCCCCATCACCTGCCTGTGGGCTTCAGCACTATCTGAGGAGGCACAATCTGTAACAGAAGCAGCCTGCCATATAAAGTGATAACTCCACAGCTAATGCAATACATTCTCAAAAAGACTTTTCATTTTTACTTAAAAAAACACACACACAACTCTTTGCAGAACACTTCTTCCACTGTGTAATTATTATCACTGAATACAAAAAGTTCTTCTGAGTTCTATAATGGCCTACAAAGGCAGAACACCGTAACATCACGTTTGGTCAAAAATTAGTTAATGTCATTTTGGGGGTATATGAGATCTCCTTTATCATGTGAATAAATATCTTGAGCCAATTTGATGTTTTAATGAGAAAATATGACAACTGGAACATTCAAAACCACATGAGAAACCATGGCTTTGAAACGTTTCATTTCAAGTGATTTTTCTCTGTTTCACACTCTGTAGGGCAGTATACTCATCTATGATTCACCACTGAGCCAAATACTGGTTCTACAGGGCTTTTTGCAACAATATTTAGAAACTTAGTCTTGATAGTTTAAATTTGTTTTAATTACTTTTTATTTGTACCATAATGGGACACCCTCACAGGTCTGAGCACAGGAGATTTTTTGTGAAACTCCTTTCAATGCAGGTTGCTGTTATGGTGCATTTTCCCTGAAAGAGCATAAGTAGCTGAGGTAAGGGCAAGCCAGGATTTATGAATGGACTTAAGCCCTAACTTCTCTGAGTGACTCCTGTGGGAGATGTGAAGTAACAAGCAAAACTTCTGGAGGAAAGTGCCAAACTCAGGGGTGGTGGAACCATTAAATGGGGCGATGTATTAATTTAGTACTGCCAGCAAAAAAAAACAAAAAAAAACTATCCAAAACAGGAGATGTGTGAGGTAAAATGCACTTCACAATGTACTCTGCACAATTCTTTACTAATAGGCTTCTTTGCCTTAAATATGACCACATTAAGACTTCCACTTCAATCAAATCCTTTTCATATCCTCATTTACTTCAATCACATAACTTGTGTGCAACAGTCAACATAAATACACTATTCACTATCCATTACCATGGCCAACATACATCAGAGTCAACATTTTCTCAGTGAGGACCAGATTTTAGCTTAAATCAATGAGCAACATCACATTTGACTGTGCATTGACCACCATTTACATTTACAACTGTAGCCAGGGTGAAAAATTATACAAATATTCTAACTTACCTTCAAATGTGCCTTTTAATCCGAATTGATCAGAAACCTTTCCCTCTGATGCCACTTTCCTTGGCTCTTCCATTTTAGGAGCAACATCAACAGTCTTGTCATTGCTGTTTTGGTAGGTGCTGTTTACATCTTGCTTGAAATGCAACAGTGGTTTGGCAGTCGTGGCTAAATAAGATGGAGTTGTTGATGTTGATGTAGTAGTAGTTGTAGTAGTAATAGCTGAAGCAGTAGAAGTAGTAAATTCTGGGGTGGTCTTTCTATAGGTTGGAGTTGCATTTCTGCTCTCAGTTTTCTCATTACCATCTTCCTGTATGATTGGTTTAAGATTATAAAACACATTGTAGTCCTGGAGCCCTGTATCATTTTGCAAAGGCACTATGTCTTCACCCTCACTGTAGTATTCATCCTCAAACTGCTCCTCTGGGCCTGGGGTAGGAGTTACCTCTGTGTGTTGACGTGGGTTTTCCAAAGTATATGATGGAAGATTAAGGCTATTTAAAACCATGTGTCCATGGTCTTGACTTTGAGTAGAATTGATTTGAACTCTCAAAGACGTTTTGTCTTTGGCCTCTGAATTTTCATGAAGATTTACTGAGTTGTCTAAACTTGGATCTTGTAGAAGATTTTCACTGCTCATTTTTTTCTCTAGTGGAAGAACAAAACTACCAACATGCTCATGTTCCTTTAGAGGGTACTTGAAATCTCTCAGGTCTGTGATTGTAGGATGCTTCGAAAGTTTCCAAGACGTAGTGACATCTTCAGAGTCCTGTGGCTGAGGAGTAGTTCCTTCAGAAGCTGTTGAGATTCTTGTAGGTCTTCTTGCTCCAAAGTAGTCGTGAACTCCAAAGCTCTCTTTAAGTTCTAACTTGTTGGTTTGGTCTCCGTTATGGGGCAAGTTATTGTCTTTGTTGAAAGGAGTAAAAGAAGCCAAAGGATCAGGGTAGGTGTCTGGAAAGTCAGTGGGTCCATAATCATAGTCTTCTAGCTCTTCATTGTCCATGTCAGGTGGTTTGAAGAGAGGTAGATTCCCCTCAGAAGGAACATGATGGGGTGTGGGTAACTGACCTATATGATCTTGTTGGTCAACCATGTACGGATAGCTGTTGTGTTGAATAACTGACTCATCCTGTGGTGATCCAGGTAGCATTGGTGTATGGACCTTCTCTGGATTGCAGTTTGGCACAGGGTAGCACATAGGCGTCCCTCCTTCATTAGGGCAATGGCAAACCTGGCAAGGATTGATGTGAAAAGAGTGCCCTGCCTCAATTTTTTGTCCATTGTGAATGCAGCCAATTCGCTCACACTGCATGCACCCATCGGCAGGCTCAGACATGTCTATGCAGTTTGGGGGTATTTCAGGGCAGCTGATATAGTGGCAACTGATTCTGCCACCCCCTGCTGGACAGGAACACTCCGTGCTACCATAATCTACAAAGTAAGAATCACCTTCTGGAACTTTCCCATTCTTAAATCCAGCATTTAGACAATCATAGTATTGGTAGCCTTCACAAGTGCAGCCTTTGTGTAAGCAAGAAGCACAACAAGCACCTGCTTCCAGAACCTCCTCAATGCAGTCGTTCAAAAGAGGGCAGTCCACGCCAGTACAGTCTAGCTGGCAATGCAATCCAGGAATAGAAATATATACGACAAATAAAAACTTCAGCAGTGTTTTTGCAAAATTGGCCATTGTCGCAGATAAAGGTAAAAGTCTTGTGTCCAAAGCATTAGGCTGTCTTCAGTGACCCAGACATACTGATTCGTGATTTACCTAAAAGAGAGGAAAGCAAAAGCAGACACACATAATTTATTCTTCACAATATATGCGGGCCAACATCTGGCTTCAGCATTAAACTCAATGAGTTTAGTTTTTTACGACCTTGAACTGTAGCTGGCTAAACATTAGGACAGGTCCTCATTACCATTAGCTGCATTCATATCCTTTGAATCACTATGCAGTTGAGGAAAATATATTAAAAAAATAGTTTGGACCATTGCCAAAAGGTAATGCTTCTGGAATATTTCTAAAATAATCCTCATTATAATGTTGTTAGCAAACAACCCACATGGCCTAAATGAATGCAAATGGTTTTCAGGACATTTATAGTGTTGCACTCAGATAAACAGAGAAGCTAAACAGATACACAGACACTTTTCAAGGGGAACAATTTCTTATTGCCAAGAAACCCTTACTGTATGCAATTGTGTCACACATTGTTAATATCAATAATAATATCATGTAACTTTACAGTTAAATCCCACAGTCACACCATATACTGTGTATAAAATAGAAATGGCTGCAACATTTCCTCTCTGTAAATGTTTAAACTTTCCCGTTTCCTGAAACAAACCCACATGGGGACGGTAACCCTGGACTGCTCCCAGATTTTGTCACTAGCTCAGCAATCTGTGTAAAAGAAAAGGATGTACTGCGTCAGTCAAAGTGACATATAGTTTAATAGCAGCTTGCAACCCACACAAGTGCAAAGAATGCGAAGGACAAAGCTGTGAGGTGAGTGATGGGGGTTCCTCTGTTGACTCACTCCCAGCTGATCTCAGCTGTGTTATGCACATGGCAAAAGAGACTGTACATGCAGAAGGGCTCATTTTCCTCCACAACAACAATGTTTCTCTGTCCTGTATTTATCTTGGGATCAACATACTGATTCATCATAGTTTTGCACCATTTGCTTCATTTATCCAGGCTTGGGACTATCCCATGTGGCTGACTGATGAATAATGAGTAAGTAAACAGTAGAAGTAGCCAAGATGTTAACACATTCCATCTTATAAAAACATCAACTTCCAGAACTTACCACAAATTGTCTTCTTGTGTAAAATTAAAATCCAACTTAAAATCATGAAAAAATAAATATGTGTCCACTGAAACAGTGCATCTCAACATCCAACAGTTAGCTCTCAGCTAACAAAACTGTTTAATCTTGTAAAACCCAAAAAGAAGAAGCCCCCATCGTATTACATCTACTTGTTGCGTCCTGGTGTGAGAAGTGATATTCTGAGGACTGCTGTCTGTCAGTTTTGTGAGGCTCAAAGTGGGAGCCTTTTGTCCCAAGCAGAGACGCAGCAAGAGAGAGGCAGGCGGGGGCAGGCAGGAGACCGGGGGAAGGGAGGAGGAGGGAGCCCAAAGTTTCCCCGGCTGGCAGGAGGAAATCCCATCAGGAAGGTCACTCCACAGACCATAGAAACAGGTCACAGGGTACCAGTCATTCCCAGCAGGTAGCTTACAATGTGAAGTTAAAACTGTGAGTTACATAGACAGTATGGAACAATGGGTAGGAGGATCAGAATCAAGGACAAAAAGCACCTAGAACAATGGTAAAAGCTACCCAGTTGAAAACAAATACAGCTTGTGAGACTACTAAATGAAATAAAAAGGCTTCAATGCACAGTTTTTGAGTCAGTAATGAATAATGAGTTAAAGGCTGAGTGATAGTAAGGTATGCACAAATGTGATATCAACTATTTCTACTGTAATTTTTTATTTTATTTTTTACAAAATGGAGAGAAAGAAAACATGTGAAAATAAGGGGAGTACACTCCGTAAAACTTTATATAGCTTGTATATAGATGAGATATATTTGTTTTACTATATTTCTATATTTTATTTTTATTTGTGTATATACATTTATATAATTATGCCTTATTTCTTTTATAGTCTGTTGCTATTTTTGCTACTTATTTTGAATGTGTTATTACCATTTATATTTTTGCTCTTTGTTATTATAGTGTGATATGTGAGCTACTGTGCCCAAATAATTTCCTTTGTGAATCATGAAAGTTTGGAAGTAAAGTTGAAAAAGTTCTCTTAAGTCACTTGACACAACCATGTTATTCACACTTGAGACTCATTTGTTTGTTTGCTGTTTTATAGCCAACATTCTCATGTGAAACAAATGTTAATGCACGCTACAACAACAAAGGTGCAATTCAAAGGTATGTGTAAGATGAAAGGCCAGCACAAAATAAGTAGAGTAATGAGTAGAAGTCCACACAATAAGAAAAACAGTGGAGTATTGCGCTTGCCTTTGCACTTTGCAGGTTTGACCAAAGTGCATGCCTTTATTTCTGTTTCCACCTCTTTATTGGCCCCTTGGGACAACTTGAGCCTCCAGTCGCTGCTGAGCCTTTAAGATTCTTGTATGTACATTTACAGTGGAAGCCCATAACCTTGACTAAACAAGAGACTTCCAACCACATGATGGTACAAACTGTTGTCCATTAACTTGTCCGATTTGTCTATCTTTCTCTTTCTGTGTCTTTTTATTAGTTTGATTGGCTGTGATGGACTGTCAGTGCTTACAATAGTTGGATTGATGATTCAAGATGAATGAATTGAATTCTTAATTGTCATGCTTAGCAGTGGTTCTAGAGTTTTGTATTTCCTGACATACTTGCATATTTAATATGCAACATCACTGTCAATCAAGATCAAATATTTTAATTCTGCCAACATTAAAATCATTAAAAACTAGAAAAAATAAACAGTTTAGATTTAGTTAAACAAGCATCAGCAGAGGACCATCCATGCTGGCATGAACATACTTTAGAATGGAGTCTGTGCCCTGATGAGCAGATAAGAGTTGGGCTGGTTTTAGGAGCTGGTGAATGAACTGCTAAAACAATAGACAGGACTCCCATGAACTCATCATTTATGGGTCACTTGAGAAGCACACATTACACGTCAGTGAGTTGGCTAGTTTTAGTCTTGTGTTCTCATTTACAGTTATGCTCGCCTCATCAATAGTATAAACAACAAGCCTTTGACTTGAACCACTTATATCACACTGCAGGTCAAATAAACCACAGTCCACTATATATTATAGCTAAAGAACATGGTTCCATTATGGTGTGTAAAAATGTTTACCTTTCATGGATTTTGGAAATAAAATTGGTATTAATACTATTAACAACTACAACAGTTGTTGTTCTAAATTCAGCGGAACCATAAAACACTGACACTCAGCAGCAGACAGCAGCAGGATGAGATTTGTGGCATGTGGCTGTGATCTGCAGGGAGGCGACAGACAGACAGGCAACTGAAATTACCCAAGGAGCTGTCTTCATGTGGGGTCAGACTAATAGACACCTTGCACCACTTCGGTAAATCAATAGGGATGCACCTGTACGGTTCAGTTGATATGATTGGGTCTCTGATTGGATATAATAAAACTTCTTGGCCAATGTTGACCCCATTGTTACCCCCATAATTTTAAACATTTATACATATCAACTATTCTGTAGTTTCTTCCAGTAGTTAAAAATACCTGTAATTTATTAAAGGCTAAATTTATATATTTAATGCCACACTGTGGAACATTCCACGCAAACCAAAAACTCCACATCAGAAAAGTTATAAAGTGCATCTTTAAATGTCCAGCCTAAGGGCACAACCGCAGTGTGTACTGCTGGACTCAAACTGTCAAAACAAGCAACAGAAAATACTGGCCTCATTTCAATTTCTTGCTTCCAATTCAAAAACAAAATCATATATTTAGTACTGCAATAGAGGCAGAAACATAATGTCCATTATGTTGCTCAGGTGTTATAACCTAGCTGCATAGATGTGTAGTGCCATAGAGAGCCACTTAGCCACTTAATGATGCAGTGTGCTCCAAACATAGTCACAAACAAATGCCATCTGGACAAGAACCACCATTTGAATATTCTTTGTCCTAGTATTTGTGAATTGTATGCAGTAATCCATGCATTAGGATTTTTTCTTAATTCCGTCAGTATGTTTCCTGACTATGATTTATGATGAATAAATGTGTCAAATTACTCCCAGGGTATAGCTTTGAGCTCTGAAGGTAGGAGAAAGTGCACTGGGACATTTGAAAGATGTGGTTTTGCTCTATAGAAATAAATGCAGCATGTTGCAATTAAGTGTTGGCACATCCCCAGAAGTGGATTCTCATTTGGCTGAGCAAACAATGCACTGCAGACAACAGACTGGAGACAGTGACTGCCTGTCTAATATCAGTGTTTGTATAGTGATTCAAACCAGGCATTTTATAGAATTCAATACAGCAAAAAAAAAAAATAGAAGGTTTAAGAAGTAAAATCAGGATTATTCTGTAGCAGATCTCTGTTTATGGCCTTGGTCTGAGTGTAAGCAGTGTAGACTGGATATGGTCAGTTCATGTCAAGACAATATTACTTTTGGACATTTCTGATTTGGATTCAAAATTGAAATTGAATTCTTTTTGAACACTTTTCTGGATGTGACAACCTCAGTTTGCGTGGTAAGGTCAAATGATTTTGGAGGTAGAATTTAGTATATGAGATCAACCTTAAGGGAATGATTTGATTTCTGTAATGATTCAGACCTAATGGAAACCAAACTTTAGAAACCAAACTAGATTTTAACTACAGATATAGTACAATATCAAGCAAGTTATGGACAAATATTCTTCTTGCAAAATGAAGTTGTCTTCTTGGTACAGACTGCTGGCTTTGGAGGAAAAGGAAGGATTTGTAGGACAAAATGAATTCTGGGTAGATAGAAGTAATGGGTGATGTAGTTTTCTAGAATCTCCATTAGCCCAACACAGTGGGGGAGACAGTGGCCCTGCCCGGCTCCACTCGGTCTTCTAACACCATTAATGTAACCAAATGCCCAGCACAGTCAGAGCATGGAGAATTTGCAGTGAATCAAGCCCTCCAGGTGAACCCACTTGTGCCGGGCCCATGCTGTGGCCATCTGTACTTGGCTCTTTTTCATCTGTTGAGAATGTGCTGCACGTGCCCCAGCATTAGCCATAGCTTATATCAAAGTTCCTCAGTAAAGTCTTACAGCTTAAAGTTTGCTATTACACTAAAGAGTACAACAACTAATACTATGAACTACATAAATCGAGCAGGGGAAAATATACATGCAATAAGGAGGATCAGACTCCAGAAAAAGACTCTCTTTTCTTATATAGATTATTTATTTGCAACTTGCTCTTGCTCCTTGTCTTAATTTGATTGCTGTAAAATATCTACTTATAACTGTCATTTGTACTGACTATTGTATGAGAGGGATTAGCGAAGGTGGAAGAGGCTAATCACCCAGATGTGCAGGCTTGCTTCTGTTACAACAGTAGCTTACCACCAAGTGTGGAGTGAATGCATGCAATGTAAAGCATCTTTGAGTGTTCAAACAAGAGTTATATATTATATTTTTATTATTACCATTGTCAGTTATAGTTTGGTCTTGTTCTGTGGTCTGATACAGACCTAATGGTGCCATAAGCTGCCCATTACATTTATTTTATTAGTGGTACTGGCAGATCCATTCGATTGGATCCCATTGGAGGACGCCGTCATCTACCTGCTGCACCGCTCAGTCTCACCTGGAGAACCCCGGCAGCACTGTGAGGATTCTTTTCTTTGATTTCTCCAGTGCTTTCAACACCATCCAGCCACTGCTCCTGAGGGACAAGCTGGAGACTGCCGGTGTGGACTGTGACCTGGCAGACTGGATTCTGGACTACCTCACAAACCGGCCCCAGTTTGTGAGAGCCAAGAACTGCGTGTCTGACCTCCTGACCGGCAGTGTGGGGGCAGCACAACACGGACAGCTGTGTCCTGCAGAAGTTCTCTGATGACTCTGCCATCACTGGCTTCATCAAGGATGATAATGATGTGGAGTACAGAGGACTAAAACAGGACTTTGTGGACTGGTGTCAGCAGAACCACCTCATCATCAATGCAGGGAAGACAAAGGAGATGGTGGTGGACTTTCGCAGACGCCACTCTACTGCCCCCTCAGTGAACATCCAGGGAAGGGACATTGAGAGGCTGGACTCATACAAATACCTGGGTGTTCATCTGAACAATAAACTGGACTGGACTCACAACACAGATGCACTGTACATGAAGGTCCAGAGCAGGCTCTATCTCCTGAGGAGACTC